CAGCCCCTGCCGCCTCTACGCGCCCCATGCCCGCCATGCACGGGCTTCGCTCCATCGCTAGCGATGCCGCGCCACCACCGCGGGAACTGAGCCTGCCGGGTTAGTCGGTGAGTCCCGCGCATCTGCAGGCACGAAACACGTTACTCTCTCTTCCCCCAGCATCATATTGTTCCCAAAGGACTACACACTGAAATATTCCTTGCTGATAATTTCACGAGTAATAACGTTCTTTTTTATAACCTCTACAACTCGCAGAACATGGCTCTATCCGTAGCTGATGGAGAGGTGGCCTTTTAGTTAGCTTACACGTCGCCCTCTTTTGCCTGTTATGTTTTTATAACAGGTTTTATCTACAGTGGGTCATTTTCCAGCTGTTTTCTCTAGTTTGTCTTCTGATACGTGTGCAAGGTATGAGCGTTGTCCATGTATAAGCATTGACAAAGTTTGTCTGCAGTGGAAATGAAATCGCGGGCGATACAAGTGTTGTGACCAGCTGTATTAAAGCTGTATATATTTAACGCAGACTTAGACAGTGGAATGATACAACTGTCTGTGATCTCCAATCAGCGCTATTTAGTCCTTGGATTAATTTTTGTTCTGTTAAATGAGGCTGATTGCACTGACTGTCTCTATGCTAATCTTCAGTGAGTAACATACCTCATCAGGACCCTCATCCCCAAATAGTAGATGCCAGCTATAAAATTTTAACTTTTTGCTTCTGGAAGTACTTGTATTCAGTTGATTCAGGCACTGTGCCCTCTAATTCACCTTGCTTAACAGATGTAGCATTTTCACTTGCCCAAAATAATTTTCTCTCATTTAGTCATACTTTTCAAATTCCTTTTCTTTATTATCTCATTGGATACTTCTCCAGAAAAGATATGCTTCTGACAAAATCCAGTGCAAAACTTTCACGGAAGCTGCTCTGGGCAGTTGTAAGTCAGTGATAAATGTCTAGTAAATTCAGGATTTTCAGAGGGGACCTGTAAATTGTATTAATTAAACTTCCAAAACCAAATTCTGTAATAGTTTTACTGAAAAGCATAAACTATAATAGATAATGTCACTGTTTACTTATTCAACAAGGATTACAATGACTACAATGGTAAATAAAAGCATCATCTTCTGAGATACAGCTGTGGTAGTATACTGGGAACCTGCCAAAGGATGATTCTCGTTCCAGCTAAAAAGTCCACCGTTGCTTGCTGATATAGTATCACATTTCACCAGATTTTATAAGTCAGATGATAACAACTTGTACACATAGTGCTTCTATATCATTTGAAGTTATAATACTAAAAGAAATTTAAAGATTTTAGGAATTATAGCTGGTATTTTTACTTTCCATATTAATGAGGTTTGGTATTACAGTAAGCCTGTTTGTTCTCAGGCTTCTCGTTATGTAGGATCATGACACGAAGCAAAGAAAATAAGAAGATTTGACATATGCATGCAGGTCTTATGATATATGCCATGTACTCATAAATGCCAGGCTTTAAGAGTATGTTTGGCAGTAGGCTATTTTCATCTTCTCAGAAAAGTCAAAGGGAAATAGTCCTGTTTCTTTTCTTGTCTGGTTAGACATCTAGCTAATTAAAGCTAGTGTGTAGGATGATCTGCCATAATGTTACTGTAACTGTACCAGTCAAGTAGCAAAGTTTTGAAATGTTGTATCTGAAACATTATGAAATGTTTAGCTTGTTTAAAGTTGTCTTTTTGGAGGTAATAACATGAACAAAAACAACGGTGTCATTCGTTCGAGATGTCAAATGAATTTGAATCAATATGCTTGTTTTGAAGTCGCTTTCACAGTGCCTGTGCCTCCACGTGTCTGCATGTGTACGTGCGTGGTCACTTGATGGCCAGAAAGCCTCCACAGCATTATTAAAGCAGAGTCTGAAATATAAAAGAAAAATATATATTCTTCTGCACCTGCAGTTAAACTGTAGAGACATCTACTGTGTGAAGATTTTCATTAAATCTAGTTCAGACTGCTATTAGAGAACTACCTTACTAAGCGTGTTCAGGATTTCCTTTAAGGCACTTTCAGCACGTTACCTAACTGAGGTAAGAAATGACGTTACGCACTGATTTCCCTTTTAGAGGCAGGAAGGAGTTTTGTGGGGAAGGGGAAGCACCAGGCAGTGTGGTAAGGAATCCACTCCTCTGAGTAAGGATAACTGACTTCTAAACTACAAGAAGTTAAACTTTCTTTGAAATGTTGGGACTTGTCTTCTTTCAGCCAGCTATCAATTAAAATAATATTTTTTATTAATTCTTCATTAACCAAATTTGCTCTCCTTTTACCCTGTGACACCTCTGTGCGTAACTACTAGTATGACCTGCTAGGGCTTGTAGCCAGACAGTGTTGTAGGGAGTGTGTAATATACACAGATGTTAACAGATGTTCTATTAAAGAATACCTTTTATTAAAAAGATAATAACTAGCACGAATAATTTATCATCATCAAAACATAAGAGTAATAATAGTTTGTGTCAGTAAAACACGGGCTATAAACGTCTACACTGATTTTTTTTGTTTACTCTATAGAAATCTTCATTCTGGAGAAAGCACTTCATAAACTCAGTGGATTATTTTACAGTGTGTTTTTTTTTTTTTGATGCAGTTTCTTCTTTCAGTTAGTCAAGATAAGTGGGAATCGGGATGCTTTTCCTGCTCCTGTCCCTCTGAGCTTAATCCTGATCTCACTGATACAGCTGAAAAATTGCACAGTATTGACCTGAGGGAAAATTGCTTATGCCCATGCTTCAAAAGTGGTCACTGATTTTGGATGTCTCGACTGTTTATCCTAGAAAGTGTTGCTTATCTGTGAAAATTTGTTTTATGCAATTCTGTAGTCAGGCAATTGGCTCTCACTCCTCAATACTGCAAGTAATGCACGTTTTTAACGTTTTGGTGCTTTCTGAAACGCAATCGTTTTGCTCAGTTATAGGTCAGAAGTAAAAGCAAGACAGGATGTGAAACCTGATATCCGGCAACCTCCGTTTACAGACTACAGGCAGTCTTCAACAGACTACAGACAGCCACCGCTGGACTACAGGCACCCCCCAGTAATGGATTACCAGCAGCCACCCCCTCTCGACTACAGGCAGCCGCCCTTGATAGATTACAGGCAGCATTCGCCTGACACCAGACAGTACCCTCTGTCGGATTACAGACAGCCCCAGGTACAAACTGAAATAATTACAGCACTCTTCAACAGAAAGCAGTAAGTTTTGTAGGGAGAGACAGTATGTACTATCAAAAAAGCTGATATTAGAGAAGAAAAAAGCACCTTTTTTTTTGCTCTGAGTTACTATTTCTCTGTAGAGAAAATTAATTCAGAATCATAATATTAATGAAGAACTATGGGATCTGTAAAATAACACTACGTTTATAACTGTGTTACTAGAATGTTAAATAGATGCTATTTTTAAGGTACTGCACAGTTAAAATAAAAGTTCCAAAATAGGCTGCCCTTGCTGCAGCAGGGGAAGTATTTGTTTCCCAGGAGCATAATCCAGTCATTGTACAGTGGATGTACTTAGGCCAAAATGCATTTCTACAGCACTGTTGAAAACCAAAATTTCATTTAATCAGAAAAAAATACAAAAAGCAGTAAAGGTGAATCCTGACTGATAAATTTACTTTTCTGCTGGTAGTAGTCTGTATGGGTAGAAACTAGTTTGTGCAACTAGTTTCTCTGACATTAGGCATAATCTCGCAAATTGCAAAAGTAAGACTTAGATGAGTCGTTACCTTACCTTGGACAACTCTGCTGATGACAAACATTTACTGATAGTTCAGAAGGTCTCAGGAATTAACCCAAAATTCATGCTTTGAAAAAAGTCCTCTATTCTCCTTAGATAAAGGAAGAAAAAAACAAGAGTTCAGAAAAATGTTAAATGAGACAGTGTAAATTTGTGGACACTATGTGCTGAAACCATATGTAGATGTCACATTTATGTCTGTAGTTTCAAAGGCAGATGCGTAAATTGTATCAATGAAAACATCCAAATTTCTGAAAGAGATCCAGCAAACCTTCTGAAAAGGTTATGCATTCCAACATCTAAAAAGCAAATACCCATCCCTGTGCCCGTGTCCTATAAGATGCTTCACCAGGTTAATTCTCTAACCACTGGTCTACACAAATCAAGCTGCTTCTTGCTGTCTTTCTGGGGCCCTTGCACTCATGGCTGCAGAGGGCTCAGAGGTGACAAAGCAGGCTCCCGCCTAGACCCCTCTGTGGTGCTCTCACTTAGGGTTTAGCAAAGAAAAACTGGAAAGGCAAATCTCAGTCTCTGCAGGATCAAGGGCCAAACTCAGAGAGTCAAACTCAGATCTTCCACTTTCCACCTCTTCCTTAAGGCAGAGGTTTTAGTTGCCACGAGCAGAGTTGCTGCCCTGTGTGAACTCCATGCAGTCTCACCTGCTGACCATGTTGCGTTACGGGAATTTAGGTGGCGTTTCTCCTAGTAATTGTAGGGTTGCTATGGTCCTTGTACAGGAACTGACTGCGTCCCCACTTGCCAAATTAGCATTTCTGCATAGACAGAAAGATTTATGCTTCAGTACCATGAAAATACTGTATTGAAGATGAATATGGAACCAGCCTAGAGAGTTTTAGGTACCAAGCAACTGCTCAGTGATGCCCTTTCTGGATCCCTTTAGACTCAGGCATCTACATTTTGCTGCAGTCTCCTTTTAATGACCAAAATAGGCACTCTTGATCTCACCACTCTTGCCAGTCCAAACGTATACTTTGAAGATTTATTTACTTATGTTGGTTGGTTAGCTGTGCATCTCAAGAGATGTATTTTATTGAATGTAATCCAGTCTATTCACATGGTTAATTGTGTTTCATTCTGTATTTGTCTGTGCAGGATTTTGATTATTTCACTGTTGATTTGGAGAAGGGAGCCAAAGGTTTTGGGTTTAGTATTCGAGGAGGAAGGGAGTACAAAATGGATTTGTATGTGCTGAGGTTAGCAGAAGATGGACCAGCAATAAGAAATGGAAGGATGAGGGTAAGTAATTTTGCTCTTTTGAACTGAGCCTATTGCAAAAATTCTGAGAAATGGATTGTAAGAGTTCCTGTAAACTGTATTTAAGTAATAGATTTATTTGGTGATGGAGTCAAATAGAAAGCAGTTTTTTCACCTCCTAATATATTTTAAAGCACCAAGGACAAACACCTCTGGTAATATAAACTTGTCCTGGAAGACTTGGGGAAATCACTTGAAATCTATAGTAGGTCTGTGCAGTTTCTTTGGGAGGTAAACATATCACATTTTGTTGATAGTAGATTTTGCTTTGCTGTACGTTTTTCTTCTTATACTGTCATTTATATCTAAGCACCTTAAAATCTCTATCAATGAGTTTGGTACTTCTTTGATACTATTATCAACATAATTAATAGCTACTTCACTAATCACAAAAGCAAAGTGGTAAATATATGACACTCATCTGACAGTTATGAAACGTAGAATCTAGTCTGTGTTATTTTGCTAATTTAAGCATATTGCCTTCCTTGTGTTTGGCAGCTCTGTTTATTGATATTATTCAATCATCTTCTCTCCAGGAATCAGCCTTCACTATTTGTTTGTATGGGTCTTAGCGCATTGGAGTCTTGTACTGGTAGAAGCAGTGATAACACCACATCCAAATACCAAATTTAACAAAATTACAGCATTCGCTTAGAAATTCCATAATAAAAAAGTACACGTTCTGTATAAGAAAAAATAGCCTCATCAAAAATAGAGGCGTTTAATCTGCCCAGTGATATGAAAGGAGCTGGCATAAACTTGTCAAGGCATATTAATACATTACAGATCAGTGAACGCAGAAAAGGACTAGGGGAATCCACGAGTAAAAGAGGCCACCAAGAATCAACATATAAGATTTTCTTTATATAGCTAATTAGTGCAACCTTATTGAACCAGTATTTAATTATGAAGAATGGACATTGTGTTTACTACTATTTTACTGCTGAATTACTACTATTACAGGAGTAATAACAGATTTTATAAAGGTCGTGGTTATTAAACAGATTTTATTTCACAAGGCTGACGGTCTCATCAAGATTGACTTTGTAGTTAAAAAGCATTATGATCTATGTAAATATGCAGTTGAGAGACTTTATATTACAGATGGAGACCTTCTTCATTTAACTCAGGATTTCTTATTATGTTTCATATCTTCCTTAATTTGCCCACTTAGTAGAATTTTAGAATTCAGTTAGTCCTTAGCTGTACCGTGTTCAAAACCCCTGGTGCTTGGAGCTTGCGTAAGGAAGCAACAGCATAAAGAGTCCCTTTGACTAGCAACCCAGGCAGTCAACTAGTAACTGAGAACTATTTCCACATTATGTATTGTATGAAATTTAGGTAATTTATGCTGCAACTAGAACTTTAATTCACCAGTATCTTCATCTGTGTTTTCATTCTTTCCTTTACTGTAGTACTATTGCAGTTAGTTGTTCTTAATAAAAGGACATAATCCAAATAAACATTCTTAGCGATAATGTAATTAAAGAAGAGGCAAAAGAGTTGCGTTTTTAATAAGCTCTGGAATCACATATATGGAAGGATATACAGCAGACTACAGCTTCAGACTTTGAAGGATGATGGCTTTCAAGAGAGATCATTTCAAGCCGTATTAGGCAAAAAATCTGACCTATTAAAATCTTGAATAGTACCATAAAAATAAAGTTATGCTATCCACTTTGTGAATAGCCAAAGTATGCAAAGTATGCAATATAAATGCATGTCTCTTTTCAATTTCCTTAGGGAAATTCTGACTCTTATCATGAAAAATGTTAATTTATTTTCTAAAATATCTTATTTTAAAGTTTTATTTATTGATGTAGTTACTATACAAAGCCAAGTGTTAATCTAGCCAAGCAGTTGTATCTTAGATTTTTTTTCTCCTATTTAAAAACGCCGTTCCTCAGAATCAGTTTTGCCCTCCAGCCCTGTCATTGAATCTTGAGTCATATTCTCCTGTTTAATAGCCATTTTAACCTGACAGTCACAAATGGTTTTGGAACTTGCAAGATCTTTTTTTACAGTGACCTGTAACTGATTGACAGAAGTGGCACAATAACAGCTGCTTCAAAATAAAACATTTTTAAACATGCATTTAACTGCAGAAAGGAATAGTGCATATAGCACTATATAGATGAGCAAAGAAACAAAGTTCTGTACTTGTATCTCCTCTCCTAAGTTTACATCCTCTATCAATAATGCAGGTTCATTCCCATTTCTTGGCTGGGAGACTGCTACAGTTCTGTATCTCTCTGTTTCGCAGATGCTTCTCTATAGGAAACATGCAAAAATTGCTCAGTCCTTCTCACTTCATATACTGTCCTCTTTAAAGCTCAGAATATCTGATCCTAGGCTTTCAGCGCTGGGAATAGTAAACCATGCTTATGTGGTAGGATCTTATCAGAGGCATTTCCCAGCTAATAGTTTTTCTCATGGTCTACTTATCTCTGTCATTGTTTTGCTTCCTGTTTCTTCCTCCTTGAAAAGCCATCTTTGATTTAACTGTCAGCCTTTTAGAAAAACATCGAGCAGATAAAATGAGGTGCAGATCATGCTTATAGAAATAATATACATAACACCTCAATTATTCCCACTAACCAAGCCAAGAAAAGAAAAATTAACTGGTTAAGCTGTTGAAAAAAAAGATGATATAATGAAACATTACCTGTAAAACCCATAGCTGTAATTACGAAAAGTATTCCATAGATAATATTTTGTTGTCAGTATGGTTATAGCCAACAGAAGTCTCGATAAAGGCACGTTTATATTGTTATAAATCTCCTTTTTTTACAGAAGTAAATAAAAGTATATAAAGTACCATCATAGTGATAGAGCTACATCTGTAGTAGTAGGTTTATAATTTTGTATAGTTAAAGCAATGCAACCTGTAAGTGAAGATAGCTCAAGATCAGCAAGTTAGTCTACATTTTGTACTCTGTGCTAATGGTCACTGCAAAACCTTACTGATGGGATGAACCTAACAGTAATGTTCTGTTTGGAAATGTGATTAAAAAATGTGAAAGTTTTTCAGTACACATTCAAAAGGCTTAGAGGTCTAACAACATATTAAAGCATTATGCATTACAACCATGGAGTACAAAACTGAAAAAATAGAATTTAAGACTGAATATGAATAAAGAACTACTATGAAACTACCTCTTGTGAAAGAAAATAGACTAGATAGATAGACACATTACTGAGGAAGACAAGCGAGAAAGGAATACAAGATACCTTTGCTGGGAGCAAAGAGAAATTGAATCAAGTGACAATGCTGAAATGACAGGAAGGAAGTAAAATCAAAATCAAAGAATCATCATGACACTTTTAATTTGATCTTTGGGTCCTCATGAACTCCAGTGAACCTTGGAAGCAGATGAGAGACCTGACAGATTAAGTAGAGCAAAGCACTGGAAGTGACCAGCTTTCATTGGTCCTGCTAGCACTGTCTAGCTTTGAAAAGATTGATGGGATGGGGAAAAATGCGTAATAAAAGTTTTTATTGTCCCATATTTCTAACCAGAAATCCTTATCTTCCTCCCCACTGGGAATGGCATGCTAGACGCTTTGTGTTCATACTGGAAACAAATGCACTGATAAACCATTTCAGGAATTCTAGATCTGACACGGTCCTTAATTCCCCTTCATACCTGATGGAGCTTTCTGCTCCATTTTCTGCCAGATTGTTCTGGGAACCCGAAAGGTGGAAGACTGCTGAGCTGATGTCATACTGAGTTCACCAGTCTCACCAGCATATTGCTTTTCTGCCCAAGGGCTCCCTTCTGTCTGCCTAAGGAGACAATGCATTATCTCTGAAAGTTTGACATGTGATTCCTTTAAAAACAATTTTTAAACCTTTGCAGTGTAAATAAACTGTTCCTAGTCCTAGAACATTTACCTGCACTGAGACTTTTATTTGGGCTCATAGACTCTGGTTCTGCAGAAAGCCCAGGCATACATCCTAATCCGACTTGGATGAGTCTATCACCAGACATGGGAAGGAAATGTCCACCAAAGGAGCCAGAAGTCTACTACAAGAAGAGATGGCTGTTGGACTAGAGGATCTCCAGAGGTCACTTCCAACCTCAAGCATTCTGTGATTCTGTGAGATAAGTCTTCTGCCTCCATGGTTGGTAACCTATCCTCACCAAGTCTTGGAGATCCTCAGCTATAACTGTGTAATGTCATATGAACCCACATACCAAGTCATATGACACAATTAACTTTGGCAGGATTTCATTGCAGTTCCTGGGTAAGAGATATGAAGATTTCTTGCGAAAGACCTCTATAGAGGTGTACCTCACTGCTGAAATGGAAGCTAATACAGCCAGCTATTAATTCTGTCAGCTGAGCACAGGTCAAGGTAAAATAGTAAATTCTGAGGTCTTCCTTCATGAAGGATTACAGAACTTTTTAAAAATGACTCAAAATGTTTCTAGTAAACTAAATGAATTTTCACAAAGAGAGAGATGTCTTACAAGTTGGCAGTGATGAATAAGAGTTTAATTAGATCTAAGGACATCATGACTATAGGAGAAAAAAATATCCAAAACTTAAAAAGGCAGATAGACTAATTGAGAGGTCTGAGTTCTACGAATTTATCTCCACCCACCTTTCCTTCTTCAGGATAAGGCAATAGCGGATATATAAGGCTCCAACCACACTTCACCATGGCAAAAAGGAGAGAAGAGGTGAATGGGACCATATTTGTGTTCCCTAGTATAAGGATGTACTGAAAGAATCAGGAGAAAGGTTTGGAGAAATATCAGCATCTTTGATATCTTATATCCAGGACTAGCAGAAGTCAGGGCACATCAGGACTCCAGTTCCCAAGTAATTCTAACATGAGGAAAAAAAATTGAAAATAGTTGATGATGAGACAAACGATGACGATATTGGAAATAAAGCTGCAAGTCTTAGTCTCAGAGTAGGGCAAGAGTATGTTGCACATTATCATTAATAATAGTACTAAGGAAGTTAGATCA